AAAAAAAAAAAATAGGTTGCACTCATTTTCTTTAAAATAAAACATTGTTTCTTTTTTTTTTTAATTTAAAAGGAAGTCTGTTTTGTTTCATGAGATGCCTATAGAACAAACCAGTTAGAGTTTAAATGAGATACGCTTTATGAAAACACCTTGATATGTGGTAGATGCTTAATAATTATTAGTGTAATTGGATTCTGAACTGTGTTTGACACGGTTTCTTGCTTACTCAAGGCTGAGAACCCTGACAGAGCTGCCGATTCTGAGAGATATACTGCTCATACTTATTGGATGGAATCAGTGGGATGCAAAACTCGAAGTTTATTTATGCAAGTATCTTAACCTTTAGAAGGTTTTGTAGAATACCTCTATACCCTAAAACTGTGGTTCTCAATCTAGGACAATTTTACTCCCAAGGGACATTTGGCACTATCTAGAATCATTTTTGGTCATCATGGTAGGGGAAGAGGATGTGTGCTACCGGGCATCTAGTGGCCCTGGCTAGAGGCCAGGGATGCTGCTAAACATCCTACAGTCCACAGGACAGCCGCCCACAACAAAAAATTATCTGGACCAAAATCTCCCGCTCTGACACATGACAGTAACTGAGTAGCCTTTGTTTTTTTTGTACCTTTATCCTCTACTATCGTTCCAAAACACATCCCACGTGCCAGACAACACAACCATCATGAGAAGTGTAGCAGCACGAGGATGATTAAGACATATTCCCTGTCCTCAAAGAACTTAAACTTCCCTCTTTTATATATATAGCTGGCACACAAGCCCCTTGAAAGAGAGACATTTGTCTTCAAAAGATGCTTGCTTTTTATGCACGGCTGTCATTTCTTTAGCATTTCATTTTTTATTCATGACTCTTCATTGAAACCCCGTGAGCTGGAGTGAATAGAGTTGCCCCCACCACGTAGATCATATGGCCTGAGAGGAAGTAGGTTATTTATACCCAGAGAAGGGGTTCATTTTCAGAACAGCATCCTAAACCTTGCTGAAGTGACACTATCTAATTGTGTTAACATTAGATTTTTTTTGACAATTCACGGTACTGGCTAAGCAGTAATCCATACCATCTGTGACAGTAATGAAAACGCCAACCTCACTGTTCCATGAGCCTTTTCCTTCCCCTTATCAACTGTCAAGGCACAGGCTGGATCACCAGACACCTTCCCCGGATGGTGTCAACCAGGCATCGGTGTGCCCAAGTACATCTGGATTCTGATTGGCTGCACAGTGCTGGTTTTCCAGATGCTGGCAATAGAAAAGTGAGCTGGGATAGAATCACTGAATATGCCAGAACTAGGACAAGGCACAGAGCTATTGAAGCTAGCTCACTTATTGGACCCAAAACACAGCTGAGGTTAAGAGAACTCACACACTTGCCCGAAGAGAAGGCGGGATTAGAACCTCAGTCCAAGACTGCCTAAACCCACTCAGTATGCCATAACAATGACGATAAAAATACTTCCAACTCTGTGAGGGACATAATGTTTTAGTACATGTACCACTGAATCCTTTTTATGACCCTTAGCCTAAGACAGATGAGGAAATTGAGGCTCAGAGAAGTAAAATGACTTGCCCATCGACACAAAACTAGTAAGTCATCAAGCCACTCTCTGGTTTCCCAGTGCAGAGCTTTCTGACTACCTGAAGCTTTGAGCAAATTCTGGCTGCCACTCTACCAGTTGTAGGAGGCCTTATGGCTGCTCTATCTCTGGCCTGTGTTTTCTCCTGATCTTAATTTTCTAATTTTTTATACTTGTCCCTAACATTTTTTAAATGCACATACACCATTCATTTTTAGTTCAATAAGCCATACCCAAATCTATGTGTCAGAGCTGGGATATACATAAATGAATAAATGAATGTGCAAGGGAACAAAAACTTACGAGCCAGAGTAACATGCTAGATAAATAACAGGCCTGCATTCAATTTCACCCTTTTGTCTATCTTCTTTGTCTTTGAATCTCACTTTCGTTATCTGTCAAACAGGTCTAACAAAACTTGCCATTAGCGCTGTTAGGAGTATAGAAATAATGAATATAAAGCACATGGAGAAGGTACATATAATTGGCACCTAATAACGGGAGGCTATTATTATTAGTAGTCATATAAACAAAGAGGCCTGTTGAATGCAACTGAGGTGATTTCTCTGACGCCAAAAACAAGGCATCAATTGCTCTCTGGGGGTTTCTGCCTTCAAAGAAGAGCACTGGGCTTCCCTGGTGGCGCAGTGGTTGAGAGTCCGCCTGCCGATGCAGGGGACGTGGGTTCGTGCCCCGGTCCGGGAAGATCCCACATGCAGCGGAGCGGCTGGGCCCGGGAGCCGTGGCCGCTGAGCCTGTGCTCCGCAACGGGAGAGGCCACAACAGTGAGAGGCCCGCGTACCGCAAAAAAAAAAGAAGGGCACTCACGTGAGTTGGTCGATGGTGTAGTAGAAGTCACAGGCGTCAAATTCAACTGGGAGATGTCAAAGTCATCACAGTCGTCTGTATCCTGTGCCACCCCGACTTTGTTGAAGTAACTGGAGAAGGCCTCTGAGGTGCAGGTGAGGGAGGGCTGGTCAGGTTTGCGGGAGGGCACGGGTGGAGGCTGGGCCATCTGGAAATCCTTAAACATTTCTTTCCCCATTTTCTGCCTGGGCTTGTCGGTCTGTGGACTTGACCTGGCGGAGTCACCCGTGGCTGGGACGGTTGCAAGGGGGGTGAGGGGACCTTGGAACATGGCAGCTGGCAAAGGCATAACAGTTTGTGTGGGCATGAAGGCGGCTGGCGGAAACTGCCCGGCCACGGTGGGCCAGGGCTGCTGAGTGGCAGGGAAGAGACCCGGCTGGCCCCATGCGATGGGCTGAGCCCCTGGCATCACCTGAGCGACTGGTGGCTGAGCACCCATGGCGATCTGCTGTTGGACAAGGGGCTGCTGGCCCCAGAAGGATGGGAGGACGGCGCCCATTGCAACATAACCTGCAAGGGTTAAAAAGAAGAGTCAGGCGCCTTGGGAAAGAATTATTCAGGGAGTCAAGTGATGGGCAGAAAGGGACCAAGCAACTGCTGAGTGTCAGGCTGTGTGCCAGGATGCAAAGGTGAGGAAGACACCAAGTGCCTGCTCTCCTGGAGTCTGTCTTCTAGAGCCCTGGTCAGGGAAAACCGCTCTGAGGAGATGACTTGTAAGCAGAGACTAGAATACAGTGAGGGGGACACCAGGCAGAGATCTGGGGAGTAATGATGATATTACTATAGTTCTTATAGTCTTATCATTCTTAGAGGTTTCTGACATCACAACCTCAGGAACCAGGGTGTCTCAGGGGAAAAGGCAGAGCGCTGGAAACCAGGCACACCTGGGTTTGAATCTTGCCTCCCCTTCTTGCTAGACTCAGGGCATTCCCAAATGCTTCAGCTCTCTAAGAGTCAAGCTCTTTGTTGTAAAGCCAGGTTATAACATCTTCCTTCTCAGCATCGAAGCAGTGTGCAAAATGATTAAGAATCAAAATGTTGGAGTTTTAGAGGCCAAGGTTAAAATTCAGACTCTGCCACTTCTCATCTATGGAATTTGGGGAGAGCTTCAGAAGCTCTCTAAGCCTCTCCTTATCTGTAAAATGGGTAGAAAGTACCTTCTGCGCCTCATTGGGTTAATTTAAAGATTAAAAAAAAATGTAAGTTAGCATCTACTCAGAACCACCTCATACAGTGGCATAGGTTGGGCACTGCAAAACTCACATATGTCACCATAATTTTTTTGCTGTATTATTCCTTTCAGGTGAGATCTAGTCATTTTAAAAGGAGCAGAAGTGATACTCTGTACCATAATCCTAGAAACAATAATAATTTCCACTTATTAAATGTTTATAACGTGCTAGGTACAGTATTAGGTGCTTCACATCTTTACAAAATCCCTGCAGGGTCGGTATCATTATCTCCATTTGAGGGATAAGGAGATTGGTGCTCAGAGAAAAGTACCTCATTCAGGTTCACACAGCTGAGACAAGCTGGGATCAGGACCTGAACTGAGGTCATCTGTCCCCAAAGCCAGCATTCTTCCCACTGCCTCACCCAGATGGCCAAGACTGACTTCTGATCTTAGCACAGTCCGTAAAGCTGGTCTAGCCATGAAATGTTTTAGCTCACTGTGGGCCTGGAGGAGACTCCCATGTCCTTCCAGGGGTCCCCACCCTTTTCAGGGTGCAATCAAGCCCAGGAGACAGATGACCAGTCCAGGCAGAGTAGAGGGCCTCTCAAAATATGCATTTGTATGGCTATCGGAAGGAATTTGCAGGTACAGAGCAGTGAGACCGGGAAAAGAAAAGGGTGGTTGCACGGTATCCTAGCAACTTCCAAATGGAAGACTGGCGAGTGCAGGGGCACTGGGCATGTCCTGGGTTGTGTCAGTGACTCCGGTGAGCCCAGAGAAATCATGTGTGGGCTGCCTCACTCATGCTCTAGCCTCAGATCCACCTGCCCTTCAATTGATTCATAAGGGATGGAGCCAACTTTCTAAGCCAGGTCATTTCCTTCTAAGGTCAGAGGAGGCTCCAGTAGTGGGGTAGAGACAGACACAGGGGCTTCCTGCTGG